CAAGAGCGAAACTCCGTCTCAAAAAAAAAAAAAAAAAAAATTAAAACACACCTAAAATTTATTTGCCTATTGTTCATGCAGGTAGTTCATTCAGCATTTGCAACACATTCATTGTAAACAAAGCATTGAATTAGACAGAGTAGATGAATAGAAAGATAAACAAGACCTGGCCAAATGTTGCCCAAAATCCATACATGATGGAGACAGGAAGGGCCCTGAGTGCCTGTGTGTCAGTGGTGATACTATCCACTTTCATTTTTCTGCCGCATTTCATTTTCATACCAATTCTGGTTAGTGGGTTTCATTTATACTCATTTTACAGATGAGGAAGCCTAGAGACGTTAACTTGCCCAGAATTGCTCAACTACTAAATGACAAAGCAAGAGTATCATGTCTGAGTTATCAGGTCTGTCTGACTCAAGTTCGTGTTCTCTCCATATCATATTTTATAAATCACAAAAACATGAATAGAGCAAAATTTCACTTACTCAACACTCCTGGGGATGAGTTATGCTGGGCAGTTGAGTAAGTGAAAGGCCATCCTCCGAGAAACATTGTTCAAAACCTTCCAAGGTTAGAGCAGAGAAGACTCCAGAAGCCTCTGCACAGTCTTTTCCTCCCTGCGGTTCTTTTTCCCCTTGGGCTTCTGGGACTTGAAACCCAGCACATCTGGTCTCTTGCAGACACATCCTCCCTGAAATCTCCAGCAGAAGATGGCCAAAGACCCCTTTTGCTTTTTCTGCTTCCCCAAAGCACAAATGACAGACTGATAATTCAGAAATTATTTTAATACCTACAAAATGAGAACAAAATAGAAAATACTTAAAAGCAGTCAGGTTTTCAAAGCACAGCTTTCTGATACCAGATTGGGCACCCACCCAGTCCTGTATCTTAAAACGCTACCCCTTGGTTCTAGAGGGCGTGAGGGCTATGCAGGTCCGTTTCTCATTTGTGAGCATTTTGGTATCTCCTGGCCAAGCAGCTTTCAGTATTTATCTTGTCTGTAGTTCTAGAAATGGGTCTAAAGATTCATCCTACTGCTATATGTAACCTCCCTGAATTTTAATTTTGTCATTTGCATAAAAAGGGAATAAAAATATCTAACTCATTAAAACCAAATGGGGAAACCATGTACATATATCACACACAGTAAGCACTCCTGTTAGTTGCCCAAGTTCAAACAGCTGGTAAGAAAGAGCTGGGACTCCATCTAGCCGGATTGGCTCCAGAATCAGTTTTTCTAATCACCTCTGTGGTGAAAGTCAACCACCCATACCTGCACTCCACTCAGTTTGCCTTTCTAGTTCACCTCTATTCCAAACCAGGGCCCACAAGCTAATAATACCAGAGCCAGAACATACAGAATTGAGCGAACAAAAAAGAGCCTACAAATGTATCCTTTCATATACAGAGGGTGTCGTTATGACTAAAGATGCAGCTACTTTGTAATCTTCTGCACAGTTTGAATTCTTAGAGTAGGCAGATAATACTTCCATAAGCATTAAAAAATATATAAATACATTTTAGGATAAAAAATTACCAAGCATGGGAACTTTGGAAAGGAAGAAGGGATTGCATATAGGAGGTTTCATTTGATGTTTAATGTCAGTTAAACTGCATTAAAACAACTTACAGTAAATAGTATTTTCCTGTATCATTATGACAGTGGCTATGAATAACGGTTAAGAGTATACATGGGTTGAATTCCAGCAACACTACCTTACTAGCTGTTTGAACTTTAACTAACTTCTCTGTGTTCTCACCTATAAATGGGAATAATAATACCTATCATATAGGGATATTGTTAGGCTTAAGGCAGTATAATTAAGATGCTTGGTATGGTGCCAGATTCATCACAAGCACTCAATATTTTTCTTTCCACAACATCACTTCTGTGGCTGAAGAATATTCCATCTCGTGGGGATGTGCCATGATTCATTTACCCAGTCCCACACTGTTATTGATCATCTTCAATTTTATCAATAACATAGACAATAGCAAATTTTTTTTCATACATTTCTCTTTATTTCTTTAGGGTGAAACTCTGTGAGATGCTAGATCAAAGGATATGAATATTGTAAACTTTTGACACACATTATCTACCATAGTTTTACCAAGTTAAACCTTCTCTGTATTAAAGGTATTTATTCAGCTCTTTTCAATGCTGCACATTATTTTGAAGATCTATGCTATTTTTAAAGGCCAAAAAACCCCCAAACAACTCATATTGTTATGCACACATTTATTAAACATCTCACTTTCTTCTTCTTGGGATCCTTAAAGTATAATTTGGTGTAAAAATAGAAAAACAATTGGAGTATGTAAAATTTTTAATGTAGTATATTACAGAGGTGGCATTTCAAGTCATTTATGAAAGGATGAATTTTTCTAATGGTTTTCTTTTTTTTTTGAGATGGAGTCTCATTCTGTTGCCCAGGCTGGAGTACAATGGCACAATCTTGGCTCACTGCAACCTCCACCTCCTGGGTTGAAGCTATTCTGCTGCCTCAGCTTCACAAGTAGTTGGGATTACAAGCACCACCACCATGCCCAGCTAATTTTTGTATTTTTAGTAGAGACAGGGTTAAGCCAGGTTGGTTAGGCTGGTTTCGAACTCCTCACCTCAGGTGATCTGCCCACCTCAGCCTCCCAAAGAGCTAGGATTACAGGCGTGAGCCACCGTGCTGCCCTTTCCAATGGTTTTCAAAGAGCTCCCTGCAGCCTCCCATGAGGGGAAGTATGGGAATGGGGGTAGGGAGTGCTGGCTGGTTGGGATAACTCTCATTCTTCCCCATTTCAACTACATTAATCTGTTTTACATACTAAATTTACAGGTAAGCTTTGATCTGAAGGGTTCCATACCTGAAAACAAAAACAAAAACACATTTAATGCAAGGTTAGGGAATAATTGGCATTTTTCAGTCAACAGATACACAAAATGAGCTGCATCTCTTTTACATCATATGCAAAAATCCATTTCAACTGGCTTAAAACATTAAATGGAAAAAAAGCCTACATAAATGACAACATAAGGAAGCATTAACTAATCTTGGGGATAAAGAGGACCTTTTCCAACACACTGATAAAAGCAAAATCCACAACAAGAGGCACTATTGTCTGTATTGATTTTTCCTAAAGTGTGTACCTCTGATACAGGTTCAAAATGGTTTCATAGCCATAGAAGAGTGGAAATGCTACATTTCAACAATAGTGCAGAGAGGGCTGGGCGCGGTGGCTCACGCCTGTAATCCTAGCACTTAGGGAGGCTGAGGCAGGCAGATCACTTAACATCAGGTGTGTTCGAGACCAGCTTGGCCAACGTGGTAAAACTCTCTACAGCTCGGTGTGGTAGCAGGTGCCTGTAATTCCAGCTACTTGGGAGGCTGAGGTAGGAGAATTGCTTGAACCTGGGAGGTGGAGGTTGCAGTGAGCTAAGATTGCACTGCTGCACTTCAGCATGGGTGACAAGACTGAGACTCCATCTCAAAATAAATAAATGAATAAATAAAAATAATAACAGTGCAGAGAGGGGGCTGAGGGCCTTAAAATCCACCCCTTCCTTCCTTCCTTCCTTCTTTCCTTCCTTTCTCTTTCTTCTTTCTTTCTCTCCCTTCCTTCCTTCCTTTCTCTTTCTCGCTCTCTCTTCCCCCCCTCCCCCTCCCCCTTCCCCTCCTCCTCCGCCTCCCTCTTTCTTTCTTTCTTTTAACAGAGTTTTGCTCTTGTTGCCCAGTCTGGAGTGCAATGGTGCAATCTCGGCTCACTTCAACCTCGGCCTCCCAGGTTCAAGCAATTCTCCTACCTCAGCCTCTTGAGTAGCTGGGATTACAGGTATATGCCACCATGCCTGGCTAATTTTTTTGTATGTTTAGTAGAGACAGGATTTCACCATGTTAGTTAGGCTGGTCTCAAACTCCTGACCTCAGGTGATTCACCCGCCTGAGCCTCCCAAAGTGCTGGGATTACAGGTGTGAGCCACCACAACTGGCCAACATCCAGTTATTTCTATCAGCATTCCCAGATCACCACAAAATACACACTTGATATCAAACAATGTGTAGGAGGACATTTTCTAGACTCCTGACATTAAATCTTTCTTTTCCCTAGACATTCTAGAGCCATCACTGTTGCTCTCTGGAGAGTTACAATGTCCTTAGCATAAAAAGGCTCTGAGAAGACCTACCATGGAAAAAGAATAAAACTAATTTAGTCTGCATTTGACTACAGAACCCTTCCCTCGACATGATGCCTATTAATATCCATAGAATTCATGGCGCATAACCTACCAAATGCCAGGCCATGAGGAAATTAAAGTTTAAACAGGAAAATGCTGTACCAGAGGTGTCCTTGTAAAGGATGTAGTCCATTTCTTGTGATTTTACTGATACTCAATTTGAGGCCCACTTTGATGTAATCTGGTGACACCTAGTGCTGATGCTTTAATTTAGTATATATACATATTTTCCTACAGTAAACTGCTGCCCACCTACATAAAAATCCTTGCTTGCAGATTGCCTTAGACTTAAATTCTTATACATCACCACAAAGCACTTATATCTTAAAATAATATAAAAGGGTTTATTTAAATGATCCGAAGGGTTTAAAAGAAGTATACAGCCAGGAGCCATGACTCATGACTGCAATTCCAGCACTTTTGGAGGCTGAGGCAGGTGGATCACCTGAGATCGGGAGTTCGAGACCAGCCTGACCAACATGGAGAAACTCTGTCTCTACTAAAAATACAAAATTAGCGGGGCATGGTGGTGCATGCCTATAATCCCAGCTACTCGGGAGGCTGAGGCAGGAGAATCACTTGAACCCGGGAGGCAGAGGTTGCAGTAAGCTGAGATCTCACCATTGCACTCTAGCCTGGACAACAAGAGCAAAACTCTGTCTCAAAAAACAAAAAAAAGAAGTATGTAGGCTTGTGCTTTTGCTCTTACGTATTAAAATGTCTTCTGCAACTACAGATGTAGAAAGTATGTCAGGTACTTCTTATTCTGATTTTTATGTCATACAAAAGTAACTGAATTAGACTGTGTTTAGGAGGCACAGTTAAATGGATCAGAGAGAGGGATCAGGCACTTCTACAAAAACTCAAGATTGTTACTAGAATGAAGATATAACAAGTATTTCACTTAAGTAAATTCTTAAACTTTATATTCTTCCACCCTAAAAGCACCCTTCAGGTTCTAAATACGTAAAGGGAAAATAAAGAGGGGTAAGAGGCAAAAGTAATACAACTGCAGTGATAAGCATTCTCCTTCTTGAAGAATATTGGTTGTTTGGTTTTGCCATTTAAAATTAATAGTAACTTGGCCAGGCATGGTGGCTTACACCTGTAATCCTGGCACTTTGGGAGGCTGAGGCGGGTGGATCACCTGAGGTCATGAGTTCAAGTCCAGCCTGGCCGATGTGGTGAAACCCCGTTACCAAAAAAAAAAAAAAAAAAAAAGCCTGGTGTCGTGGCACGTGCCTGTAAGGCTGGGAGGCACCGGTGGCTCACGCCTATAATCCCAGCACTTTGGGAGGCCAATGGGGGTGGATCACAAGATCAGGAGTTTGAGACCAGCCTTGCCAAGATGGTGAAATCCTGTCTCTACTAAAAATACAAAATTTAGCCAGGCACGGTGGCAGGCACCTGTAATCCCAGCTACTCAGGAGGCTAAGGCAGGAGAATTGCTAGAACCCAGGAGGCAGAGGTTGCAGCGAGCCGAGATTGCACCACTGCATTCTAGCCTGGGTGCAGAGCAAGATGCTATCTCAAAATAAATAAAATAAATAGTAACTTGAATTGTAAAGTGTTAGGTTTATGAGCATTAAGATTCAACTTCTAATCTATTTCTATGTTAAATGTGTCTCTGTATGTTTATTTTTATTTTAGAGACAGCATCTCTCCCTCTCACCCTGCCTGGAGCACAGTGGTACTATCATAGCTCACTACAAGCCTCAAACTCCTAGGTTTAATCAGTCCTCCTGTCTCAACCTCCCGAGTGGCTAGTACTACAAGCACACGCCAGTACAGCTAGCTAATTTAAAAAATTTTTAAATTTATTACTTGTAGAGGTGGGGTTGACCAAGCTGGTCTTGAACTCCTGGCCTTATGCAATTCTCCTAAGTGTCCCAAAGTACTGGGATTAAAGGCATAAGTCACTGCTCCCAGACCCTCTGTATGTTCAATAATGTCAATGCAAAAACACTTGTTTGTGCAAATACATTGCATTATTAACTTTCTGGTCTTCTGTTGCTAGTTTAAAATAATTAGATCTCAAATTTTAATAAAAATTCTGGTACTACAAAAACCTGGAAAGCCAAGTTTTATTTGAATATCACTCAATAAATCTTTAGCAGAGTCTTATTCACTTTAGGATAAGGTTAGCATTTGTTGAATATTTCAAATTTGAATTATATAGTATCTAATTTAATTATTGCTGGGAAACAAAAAAAATCCTCATTATTTACTACTTTGTTTTCAGTGACTAAGTTGTTGCAAATATATGTATGTACGTGTCTGTTATGTGCAATTTCTATTTTTAATAGGAACGTGGCACTGACAGTTACAACACTGAGTTTGCCATGGGCTACTGTGTGATATGTGATGACTCAACTCTCCCACCTCTTTCCTCAAAATGATTGTGAAACCTTACACGTTTTGTCACAATGTTCTTTGGCTTTCAGCTGATAAAAACAAAATCCTAAATTTAGTGTGCAAAATCCTAAACTCAGTGTGAATTCAGGTACTCAAAACTTCACGTTTTAAGGTGCTCATCTGAAAAAATCACAAATAATGTGACTTTGCTTTGGCATCAAAATGACAACACAAAATTTTTTAAACTGTAAAGAATTGGTGGATTCTCCGGGAACTTATGCTTGAACATCAGGCTGAAACACAATGCCATAGATGATAGCCATTAATTCATTCAACAATATTTATTGAGGCTATATAAGCCTGGCACAGGGAATCAAACAATCAACAAACTGCATGCCCTTATGAAAAGCCTTACTTAAGAATATAGTGGGGAAGGAGAACAATAGACAAGTAATTATATAATTCCTGATGACTAGAGGTATAAAGAAAATGAGGGAGGGCCGGGGCCGGGCGTTGTGGCTCACACCTGTAATGCCAGCACTTTGGGAGGCTGGATCACCTGAGGTCAGGAATTTGAGACCAGCCTGACCAATATAGTGAAACCTGTCTCTATGAAAAATACAAAAATTATTGTTTCCTATGATCTATGTTAGAGGAAAGAAAAAAAAAAAAAAAGAAAAATACAAAAATTAGCTGGGCATGGTGGTTAGCTCCTGTAATCCTAGCTACTGGGGAGGTTGTGACAGAAAAATTGCTTGAACCTAGGAGAAGGAGGTTGAAGTGAGCCAAAATTGCGCCACTGCACTCCACACTGGGTGACAGAGTAAGACTGCCTCAAAAAATAAAATAAAAAGGCCGGGCGCGGTGGCTCAAGCCTGTAATCCCAGCACTTTGGGAGGCTGAGGCGGGTGGATCACGAGGTCAAGAGATTGAGACCATCCTGGTCAACATGGTGAAACCCCGTCTCTACTAAAAATACAAAAATTAGCTGGGCATAGTGGTGTGCATCTGTAATCCCAGCTACTAGGGAGGCTGAGGCAGAATTGCTTGAACCTGGGAGGCAGAGATTGCAGTGAGCTGAGACCATGCCACTGCACTCCAGCCTGGGCAACAGAGTGAGAGGCCATCTCAAAAAACAAAACAAAAAAAACCAAACAACAACAAAACTTCCCTGAAGTGTAATTTATACATAATAAAATGCATACCTTTTAAGAGTATAGTCTGATGAGCTTTGACAAATGTATAAATCCGTATCACCACCACCATAATCGAGATAAAGACTATTTCCATCATCCCAAAAACTTTCCTTGTTCCCCTTTGCAGTCAGTCCCCATCCTCTGACCCATACCAGAGCAAGGAACTCAACTAGGGTTTGGGGACTAATCCTCAGTTAAACTAGCCACATTTTAAGAGCCTAACAACCACATGTGGCTAGTGGCTGTCATACTGAACAGCACAGGCACAGAACACTTCCATCACTGTAGAGGGTTGTATTCCATAGTTCCAAGATGGTAAATTTGGCCTTTATCACATGGAGTAGGCCCAGCAATCTGAAAGCTGAGTAAGCCATACAAGTGACATTACCTAGCTTTATGTTATTACTTGTGTTTATTACCTTTAACATCAAGTAATTCATAAAGTCCTGTGAGGGAACAGTTTTGTTCCATGCCTGGATCAAGGTGCTAAAGAGGGAGGAGCTTCCAGTGGGA